TTCTGTATACGGAATTATGTACTCGACATAACTCTGTTGAGTTCATTTAGCTGGTAATATTTTAATTATAGTCACTGGATGAATTGATGATTGATGTTACGGAAATAGTCGGAACTATCTGAACGAATTTATTTTGTATAATGGTAGCCTTGAAGTATAGTGAGCAATTTCATTCATTTACGTGCAATGAGGCCGAGTGAAGGGCTAATACCACATGTGGCGTAAATGGCCATTCACAGATAATTAATCTGGGAACTAGCCTTGTAGACTGAGGTCTATAGAGTTAATTTCTGATGTCGAGGGGTCAGTCTAATGATGTATTCCCGTATAATGTGATGGAAGATTTAGGTTGCTTGTTTATGTGTTTAATAAGGTGAGATAGTCTGGAAAGAGTTACAAACCAAACAGTGTGCGAAAGAAAATAACTGTTTGGAACAAAAGGAAAGGCATCTAGAATTGTTGGAACGAAAGAAAGTGGAACGGAAGACGTACTGAAACAAGGAAAATGAAGTACAGTCTAAGAGGACTTGTGGGACGGAATCAGTCAACATGTTATGCATTGATGCAAAGCAGGATTGTTCAATATACTCGGACTCGTAAATGATGCTTTTTTTGGGGGGAAGCGGGTTCTATCTTAAACAGAATAGGCTAATCTTATAATGTCATTGTATTTGTGAAATTCCTTAATTAGTTAATACGTAAAGAAAGAAATATATTTTTCGAACTGTAACTTTCGACTTATTGTTCTGTATATTGGCTCAGACTACTTCTTAATTCCATTCATAAATTTCTTCTTGTATTAGCTTTATTTGAATCCGGACAAATTTTATCGTTGGAGTTCACTCCTAGATACGAAACCAAAACCAGTAAACCCGCCACAAATAAGTTGAGGAGGGGTTTACAGTATCACCACAGAAACACCACAGACAATGACCTAGCTGTCATGACGATAACACACCACAAGACAATTATCTATGAGTCATAATGTTAACACACATAATGACATGGATCCAGGAGTTATAATGTACAAAAAATTAAGACAGTATCCAATGGGTCATAATGTTGAAACACCCAAAGAAAATGCCCTAGATGTTTTAATTTATAAGCACCCCAAGACAATGGTCAAGGAGGCATAATGTAAAACACCCGAGGACAGTGACCTATGGGTCACAATATCAACACTCTCCAAGATAAGGATTTATAAAGTAAAATCAATGCAAGTCAACGTCATAATGTGGAAACACCCGACGACAATGTCATCGGGATCATATTGTTGTTGTTGTTGTTTGTTGTTGTTGTTGTTGTTGTTGTTGTTGTGGGGCTTAACGCCATTTTTCAGCACACGATAGGCCATACAGGCGGCCAGTATTAATGGTGGAGGAAGAAACCTGGAAATCCGCGGAAAGAACCACCGACCCACGAGAAGCTACTGGCAAGTTTTCTCACTTATCCACATTCGCCGAATCTTAGACTCGAACAAACGCAGACAGACGTGAGATGGTAGTGATCCGTAACGGAGAGCGCTTTAGACGACTAGGCCACTCGGGGCCCTGGTTATGTTCTAAACACCTCACAAAAGAATGATATATGGGTCATAATGTAAAACACATAAAGACCCAAAGGGCCATAATGTAAAGCAACCAAAGACAAGGACCTGTAAATTACCCCAAGACATTGATCTAGAAGCATAATGTAAAACAAACGCATGCCAATGACCTAGAGCGCATAGCGTGGAAACCGTTGAATGTATTTTGCATTTTTCTGCTATGACTATGCCAGTGAACATAAATGTAATTTTAAATGAGTTTTATATTTTAAAATTCATTTGACGTTTGAGTACTTCCGATGGACCCCAGACACAGTTGTCAATGCTGACACTTCTCTCGCAGATGGCTGCCATCGGGGCAACATCACTACAAAGCGTTGTTAATTTCCAGTCTACGGTTTCAACGGATCAGAGACAAACTAAGTGACGGCAGGTATATGTTTATATGGTGGAAGATTTTAACAGTGTGAATGTTGCAGATGTTTACAGATTTCATTTTTTTTAACATGCAGCGATATTAATTTGATGCGATTTTGTACGGAATTAAATCCATATGTTTGATAATACTCCACGTTTAATGCATCTGCTAGGGACTTCATTGATTTTTGATGAAGTTTGGGTTGATAACTGTGTCAGGTGTAATCGGTCAACGGGTAAAGCTTCGTTTTTTAATCGAAATACCAAGGGTTGAAATGTTGCAAAACAGAGTTCGTATTTGTTGGAATATTTGTCACATGTTTAAACTTTGCAGAGATTCATTGGAGGGGAATGTGTTAATAATAACGGCGATTATAGAAAACTCAATCCAGATTGAGTAAGTTAACATCCTGTGTAGGTTTCCAAGAAGACGTCGCGTAATAAATGTCTTTCACCGCAAAACTAGTCAAAGTTAGTTTAGCGAGACAAAGTTCTTGGCTCTGGGGGTAGCAAAAATAGCTCTCATTAACGTTATCTAAGGCACATGTAGTTGAAATGTTCGAGATACACGCAACCAATGTTATAAAGGAGACGGCTATAGAAACAGAGCTAATTATAAAGGAAAGTACCGTTTCTTGATTTCATGTAATACGTTTCTGTGATATGAACCTTAATATAATTGTTTGAATTTATTTATCTTGTGTGGCATATAAGTCACATACGCTAAGAATTGATTATTGTTAGGTTTGTGTGATACTTTTTGCCAATGAAAAATACATTAATGTGCCTGTACTATGCCAACTGTGTCTGGAAAGTGACATAATCGAGTTGATACGCACTGTTGTATTGAAAGTAATTTATGACCTGCAATCAATATCTATTTAACGTATTATTCTGAATATATCCAATTTATGATTAAATTTACTGTATCTAAGTTTCACAGAACTGATAATTACGCACACAATCACGAACAGGACATCCACTCCACTCAACGTTCATCCTACATGAGGTATGCATGTGTCACATATTTGTGTAATATATATACCAACGGCAACATATCAACTCTTCTCTGGAATTTGTTCTGTGCGCCACTCTCTAATGATGCCTTGATACTCCAGACCTATTGCAAGGATATTGAACACACACGCTAATTTGTATAATATTCTAAGTCATTGCATGGAATTATCCTGTAAGGCAGCGTTGGTTGCTGTATCTGCTCTTTTATTACCCATAGTATAGTGTGATTATTCAACCAGCAGTACGCACTATTACCCAGAATGCATGAATAAGTAATGTTTCTCTAAGATGGGTTTTCTACGGCTTGTATAAAAATTTTCAACGCTATCAGTTTGTTAAGAAACTCGGAAAGATGATGTCATTTGTTTTTTGAGATATTTCACCATAGCTCAAAGATAATTGTATGACTGTAATATCTGCATGTTCACGTTAAACGCCTAGCAATAGTGTTATCATGTTATGGGGTGCTCCAACGGTTACAGCAAACGTAAATGCATCTTTCTTAAATCGTTTGTATCTACGGACGTATGGACAAAATTTTTTGCTCTAATTTCATTGAATGCATCTTGATATATCAGAGAACTGGCTGAGAAAGCGTATAATTGCGTTATCTATAAGAGTTAGTTCAGGCTAAATTAGTAATCCCACCATCCTTAATATTTCGTCCGCTCCACAGAATTGTGATAGTATATGTTTAATTCTTCATAAATTATGTATAAGCTGGTTGAAGTAATTATGCACAATTCGTTTCTGAAAATGGAACTAGTTTATGGTAACCATTTTTGAACTCCTTTCAAGCATATCTGTAATTAATTTTCAATAGCACGCGTAATATTCGACTAATAATAGATAAAATGTCCTAGGACACATAATGAGTTGACAGTTCCTGGATTCAGCCATTTCTCCGTAATGTAAAGTTTGCTTTAAAAAAAGTATTTGTCCTGGGATACACTACACATAATTGCTTTCATAAACGATGGTATCTACCTCAGGTATTTCTTTCTTTCAAACGATTAAATCTCAAGACAGGTGGGTGATATCTTCGACCTTGGTTAAAGAAGTCACGTGCAATGCCGCGTTTTTTATATGGTGAAGTACTTTTCTGCGAGTCATACACGACTACTGCTATGAGTCATTTTATGATTAGTTTAAGTAGATGACCAATTGTGCGTTTGCAAGTATTATCAAGCCAGTTTTTATTGACAAATCAATCGCTGTTGAGCATGTTCACAATGATAAACTTTGACTCACAAATGATATGCGCTGTTTCTCAATCAGCTTTGTTTAATTTCCAATTCTGTCCATCCCTTAATATTTGGGTGTATTACTTCTGACGTATGTTGAAAAGAGGTCACTACCACATACGCCTTAAGCAACTTCTGAAATATATTCGAAAGTAATCGCTACCTCATAGGTTTTAACCAATTTGCCAAAAAACGTGAAATAAAAGAGGAATATCACAGATGATCTTAAATAAGGAAGAATATTTTCCTGTCGCAAAATCCAAGTTTGTATACGACTAATTACAATGACAAAAAGTTTTATTCTAAACATCATTTTCCTTAATTTTGGTTCATATCTATTTGATAAATATGCCTACCCCAATGTGAATTTTCAATAATGTGAAAGATCCGATTAATTGAATCCTGTGATTACTGCTGTAGTCTGTAATTTTACTGAAATTAATTTGTGTGGAACTGTGCTATTCATGTTGATGGGCAATACACCTGCCACCCTATCAGTATTACTTGTCGTAGATCATGGAATGTGTACTTCAACTCCGTCATTTTCTTTGAGAAAGATTCCCTCGTGTCAGATAGCGGTTGGCTATACTCTTTATTATATCAACTTTTGAGTCTCAGTAAATCCTCTGGATTATGGTCTCAAACATATTTATAGAACTTTTGGATGTTCGAGACTCTTGCGAACATTGTATTGTCCAACGTCGCAAGTTTTCCACTTTCCAAAACATATAACAGTTTGATATGATTTACATACAGCAGATTCTTTATATTGCAACCGCTCAGGTGGCATAGTGGTTAAGCGCCCGCCTCGGTTGCGGGAGATCGTGGGTTCGATCCCCGGTCGAGTTATACCAAAGACTTAGAAAAATGGTACTAACAGCAGCCTCGCTTGACGCTTAGCATTAAGAGTTTAGTGTTAGGACTGGTCGGCCTGGTGTCAGGATAATGTGACTGGGTGGGACTTCGTGCTGCATGTCTGCGGCATGATGTCCCAGTGCTAGACATCACTATAAACTACCACACTGCAGACATCGTAGCGATATGACTGAAATATTTGTAACGCTACGTTAAAAATCATAAACACCAAACCCCTTTATTTAGCTCTTTCTCTGATAGAGGGGTCATTTACAGTTGGGACAGCGCTTTAATGCTCTTTCTATGGTTCGGATCTGACCAGTTATGAGCTAGTCGTGTTAGGATTCTTATTTGTCCACTGCAATATTGACTATTGGTCATTTTGCTGGTATCTATGTGAGCTGGATGAAGCTGTTGACTGGCTAGTAGTGGTGCATTTTTGTTTTGTAACAATGTCGCATTGATTACTTTCTTTATCTGCTTCGCACTCGGTTTGGTCGATCGCTCACACGATATATAGATGCGTCCGAATTGTAAACTTGGCTTTATCTTGTGCCAATATTATGTCTGTGTGTGGACAGTATTTGTGGAAGATTTCGTTTTTATTCGGGCAACATTTGCGTAAGATTCTGGCGGATTAAACGGGGAAAGGGTGCAAGAAGCTTGGAATAATAAATATAACACTCATACTGACATAGCAGTTGATCAAATCCATTCATAAACGTCCTTCCAAACATATATAAACAAGTGCTTACATTCGTACATACATGCATATGTGACATTTTTGCGGTACGAACAGATTAAATGAGTCAGTGATTCAAATGTTATAATGTTGCAAACTGAAACTAAAATTATGTAGATAAATACATGTTATAATTTTGTGATTTTTTGGACAAAGTTTCCTGATATTAGTCCCATTTTTTGTGTCTGCCATCTTGACAGCCACGTTTTAAATTTGTAATCACTCTGAAGATAAGAGTTAAGATACTTGTCTTCGAATATTATCTATTCGACATGTCATGAGATACTTGTCTTTGAATATTATCTATTTGACATGTCATAAGATACTTGTCTTTGAATATTATCTATTTGACATGTCATAAGATACTTGTCTTTGAATATTATCTATTTGGCATGTCATAAGATACTTGTCTTTGAATATTATCTATTTGACATGTCATAAGATACTTGTCTTTGAATATTATCTATTTGACATGTCATAAGATACTTGTCTTTGAATATTATCTATTTGGCATGTCATAAGATACTTGTCTTCGAATATTATCTATTCGACATGTCATAAGATACTTGTCTTTGAATATTATCTATTTGGCATGTCATAAGATACTTGTCTTTGAATATTATCTATTTAACATGCCATAAGATACTTGTCTTTGAATATTATCTATTTGACATGTCATAAGATACTTGTCTTTGAATATTATCTATTTAACATGTCATAAGATACTTGTCTTCGAATATTATCTTTTTGACATGTCATAAGTAATTAATATTATTTTTACAAATCAATTAATTAAGCCTCGTATACTTTTATTGTTTTCCCTTTTTCAAATGCATAAGAACAATGTTCAAGTGGATTTTACAAAGAACTGCACAATAATAAAGAAATTATGACAAATTATAACAGTGTATGCTTTTCTATTACTGGTTATTCCATAAATATAGGAACAATTTCGAAAATTAAGCAAAATTTTAAAAAACATTATACCAAAATATCTAATGTCTATAGGTACCTGTGTGGCGACTTTTATATATTATGCATGGGTATGGGAACTTTATAGTTTATGTATGGGTTTGGTGACTTTATATATTCTGTATTGGTTTGGGTCTTTATAGATTACGTATGAGTTTGGTGACTTTATAGATTATGTATTGGTTTGAACATTTTATAGATTATGTAGGTGTTTGGTTTTTTTTAGATTATATGTGGGTTTGGGACTTTGTGGACTATGTGTGGGTTTGCAACTTTATAGATTATGTATGGGTATGGGAACGTTATAGATTATGTATGGGTTTAGTGACTTTATAGATTACGTATGGGTTTGGGGACTTTATATATTATATATGGGTTTGGGAACTTTATAGATTCTGTATGAATTTGGGGACTTTATAGATTATGTATGGGTTAGGGACTTTATAGATTTATGTATGGGTTAGAAACTTTACATATAATGTAGGGGTGTGGGATCTTATAGATTATGTATGGGTTTGGTGACTTTATAGATTATGTATGGGTTTGGTGACTTTATAGATTACGCATGGGTTTTGGACTTTATAGATTATGTATGGGTTCGACTCTTTATAGATACTTAATAGTTTGGGACTTTGTAGAATACGTATGGGTTTGGGACTTTATAGATTATGTGTTGGTTTGAGGATTTTATAGATTATGTATGGGTTTGGTTCCTTTTAGATTACGTCTCGGTGTGGGACTTTATGGATTTATCTGGGTTTAGAACTTTATAGATTTTGTATTAATTTGGTGACTTTATCGATTACGTATGGATCTGGGGACTTTATATCTTATGTATGGGTTTGGGACTTTATGGATTTTGTATGGATTTGGTGACTTTCTAGATTTTTTTGGTGACTATAGATTATTTATGAGATAGGTGAGTTTATAGATTATGTATTGCTTTGGTGACTTTATAGATTACGTATGGGTATGGGAACTTTGTAGATTATGCATGGGTTTGGGAATTTATATATTATGTACGTGTTTCGGACTTTATAGATTATATATGGGATTGGTGACTTTATAGATTAAGTATTGGATTGGGTACCTTATATATTATGCAAGGTTTTGGGACTTTATAGATTATGTATGGGTTTGGAACCCTATAGATTATGTATGGGTTTGGTGACTTTATAGATTATGTATGGGTTTTGTGACCTTATAGATTATGTATTGGTTTGGTGACTTTATCGGTTATGTATGGGTTTGGTGACTATTTATATTTCACATGGGTTTGGAACATTATAGATTATGCATGGGTTTGGGACTTTATAGATTATGTATTGGTTTAAATATTTTATAGATTATGTATGGGTTTGGATCTTTTTAGATTATATGTGGGTTTGGGACTTTATGTATTAGGTGTTGGTTTGCAACTAAATAGATTATGTAATTGTTTGGTGACTTTATAGATTACGTGTGGGTTTGGGGACTTTATATATTACGTATGGGTTTTGGGACTTTATGGATTATGTATGGGTTTGGGGACTTTATAGATTATGTATGGGTTTGGGTCTTTATAAATTACGTTTGGGTTTGGGACTTTATAGATTATGCATTGTTGTTTTGTTTTCTATAGATTATGTATGGGTATGGGAACTTTAGAGACTGTTTATGGGTTTTGAGACGTTAAAGCTTGGGTATCGGTTTTGATAAAACAAGAAAATCTTAAAACACAATAACAAACAGGTTGAGCAAATTGTGACCGCATAATCATTTTCAAACGGATTATTTAGGCACTTTATTAAAATATTGTAATCTTTAGTGCGTTACATCTTTTTCGGTCTTACAAGAATTAATAATTTTGTATTTTTTTTCAAAAATATAGTTGAAGTGATTTAAGTAAAACTTAATTTAGCATTTACTTTTTTACACACAGGTAACTGACAGTATTCTTTTCCAACACTTAGAATTATCTTATCAGAGGTCTTTTTAATCATATATTGATTTAGAATGTGCAGTGTTCTAGGCGTTTTATAAGTGCAGTGATAGACGCCATAAGAGCAGCTGTGCCATCATTTCAGAAATAAACACTTGAAAATCCTCATTGTATAAAACATCATGTATCGCATGACTTGGAGATAACTGAAATCAAAGCCAGAATGTGTCATTGGTATGGATTGTCATGGATAGTCTCTGTTGCCACGTAATAAGAGCCAAGGCCATGCAACTTTAATTATGGCGTAAATAGTTTTGTAGGCAATTAAAAGAAAATAATTACTGAAGGCATTGTGAACATATTGCAGACATTCTTCCGATAATGTAAAGTGGAGATTCTTTACTGCCCAATTTTTTTTTTACTCATAAGACAAAGATTACAAGAAAAAAATTACTGAAATGAAGTCACTTTAGAAATACTTGTCATTAAACTAATACATAAAATCATATAAAATGAAAAAGAAAAAAAAAGATTTTATTTATTTAAAATAGATTCGTTTCATGATCAATGAAAAGATATTATCACTTTTTATTGTTGTTTTCCCTTCCTTCACTAGAGTTATATCCGCCTGTCACAATACCGCATGTGTCTTGATGTCATCGTCCTTTATCTGACACCAAGCACATAAGATGTCAACCAGAACTTCTTATTGCGTTCAAATTTCCTAATCTCAAAAATCAATTAATTACCGTTGATTTGAATATGGGAAAACAATCTTAGTTCGTTTTTTCTGGCTATCAAACTTGATATTTAAATGATGTTCACTAGCGTACGTTGCTAATGGTCGACAAATTGTATGACAATGAGACTGTATGTATCTCGCACAACTCTCACATTAAAATAAGGGAAGGAAACGTTTTAGCAGGGTTAGAATGTTTCCGATTATGGCATTGTACTTCAATCAGATAGTTTAAGTTAAATAATTACAGACTGTATTTTCAGAAGGAACAAATCGTTAAATATACATACGTAGAGGCAGAGAAGCACACGTGCATATTGTTTCATAACGCATTTGTCATTAGCATTCGTCATTTCTCACTTAGATACATTTTTTTTTTAAAATATTGTTCCAAATCATCTATTGTATTTCTGAAGAAACAAATATGCATTTGTCCGTTCTTTCCCTTATGTTTGTGTTAAAATTGTCACATACTAAGTCATCAGTTAAAGCGATTGGTTAAACCTAAGCATGCGCCCCTTAATGTTAACTTTAATATATCAATCTTACATGAGCCGTAATGCATGTTTGCTTAGTTACATTCGACTTTACCTTACTTTAATAAGTGTCTCGATTTTTCT